TTTTTTTTTTTTTTTAAGACAGGTTCTCTGCCACCCAGGCTGGAATGGAGTGCCATCACCATAGTTCACTTAAGCCTCAAATTCCTGGGCTCAAGCAATCCTCAAGCCTCAGCTTCGTCAGTAGCTGGGACTATAGGTGTGAGCCACCATGCTGGCCAAATTTTTTTTAAAGGGCTTTTATTTTACTATTTCTTTCTTTTCTTTTCTTTTTTTGAGACAGAGTCTCTCACTCTGTTACCCTTCACAGAGTGCTGTGACATCATAACTCACAGCAACCTCAAATTTTTGGGCTCAAGCAATTCTCTTGCCTTGGCCTCCCATGTAGCAATGCATCCACCTCGGTCCCCCAGAATGCTAGGATTGCAGGCCCAAGCCACTGCACCTGGCCGTATATTACTCTTTTCTTTTATTTTTGCAGTTTTTGGCTGGGGCCAGGTTTGAACCTGCCACCTCCGGTATATGGGGCTAGTACCCTACTCCTTTGAGCCACAGGCACCGCCCCTTTTTTTTTTTTAAGACATTCTCAAGTGCTGACCCTGGGTAGAGTGCTGTGATGTCATAGCTCACAGCAACCTCCAACTCTTGGGCTCAAGTGATCCTCTTGCTTCAGTTTTTCTGTTTTTAGTAGAGACAAGGTCTTGATTTTTGCTCAGGCTGGTCTCAAATCCGTGAGCTCAAGCAATCCACACGCCTCAGCCTCCCACCCAGAGTGCTAGGATTACAGACATGAGCCACTGCACCTGGCCTTTACTATTTCTTATAAAGCCATGGTGACAATCAGTTGTTCAATCCCAGATGAGAGGAAGTAGGGTAAAAGCAGGACCACGGGCCATGTGGAAAAAGAAGGCAAAGAATCCCCATTTCTGTATGCCCAAGGCCTTTTCCCAAGAACTAGGCCCACCCGCAGACCTGGTAGGCATGGGGATCACCCAGGGTACAGGGTGAGGGTGTGGGGCCAAGACTCTGTCACTTACCAGAAATCTCTCGTTTGATGTTGGGTAGCTCAGCTGGGCAGGAGTTGCTGACAGTAATGGCTGGAGTGGCCACGCCCTGACTACTGTACACATCAAGCAGATTTCCTGACACTGGGAGCTGAGAGAAATAATGATTAGCAACAGACCCCAGGCTCAGCCCCTCCTCAAAATCAGACTACTGACCCTCCATACACCCCAAAAGATTGGGCCCTCTAACACAACGATCAGCTGACTAGCACGGGAACCTTTTATTCTCTTTCAAGGCAATTTCCTGTGGCACCCCAACATGGAGGGCAGAGCAAACTGTCCTACTCTGCTTTGCTGGGAGACTGGAGACTGCCTGACTTATCACCCCCACCCCCACCCAGCTCCTCATTCCTCAGTGACCTCTGAAGCCCCTCTCTCAAATCCCAGGGCTGCCTCAAGAAAGAAACCTGGGAAACCATGATTCTCAGGTCTTTGTGAGCTCTGATGCGACATTCTGGTCTGTTAGCTCCTCCCAGCACAACATTACAATCCAGCATTCTTGAAACACTCCAACCCAATCTTCTCAGACTCTGGTAAGTTGTTATGGCAATGTTCCATCCAAAATCTGGCCTCTTGGAGCGAAGCGTTCCAACCTAATCTCCAATCTTGTGCTAAGATCAAGTCATACCACCTTCCACACCATGGTCTCCTGCAGCTGTGTACCAAGGTCCTGACTCTAGTATCTTCCTGAACATTCTGACCTCTCAGGAGATTCTTGTCCAACTTTGCAAATAGCAAGGCTTTTATGTCAGCCTAGTTTTTTTTTTTTTTTTTGTTTGTTTTGTTTTTTGTTTTTTTTGAGACAAAGTCTCAGTATATCTTCCTGAGTACAATGCCATGGTATCACAGCTTACAGTAACCTCAAAGTCTTAGGCTTAAGAGATTCTCTTGCCTCTGTCTCCCAAGTATCTGGGACTACAGACATCTACCACAATACCTGGCTATTTTTTGGTTGTAGCTGGCATTGTTGTTTGGCAGGCCCAGGCTGGGTTCGAACCCACCAGCTCCAGTGCATGTGGATGGAGCACTAGCCAAGTTATAGGCACTGAGCCTATGTTAGCCTAGTTTTTATATCCCAGATACACTCTATGGCAGCACACTAATCTAGAAGTATACCAAAGTATAAACCCCTAATGAGTTTTCATCACTTGAAACCCCCTTCAGTCTGCTGGATCCATTTAATATAAGGTCTCAATATCCAGCTGTGTCTGAATTAATAAAAAGTTCTGGCTCAGTGCCAGTAGCACAGTGGTTTTGGAGCCAGCCACATGCACCAAGGCTGGTGTGTTCAAACCCAGCCCAGGGCTCGGCACCTATAGCTCAAGCAGCTAAGGCGCCAGCCACATACACCAGAGCTAGCAGGTTCAAATCCAGCCCAGGCCTGCCAAACAGCAATAATAACTACAATCAAAAAAAAAAAAAATAGCTGGGCATTGTGGCTGATGCCTGTAGTCCCAGCTAATTGGGAGGGTGAAGCAAGAGAACTGCTTAAGCCCAGGAGCTGGAGGTTACTGTGAGCTATGATGTCACAGTACTCTACCCAGCACAACAGCTTGAGGCTCTGTCTCAAAAAACAAACAAAAAAAGTTCTGATACACTGGTACCATTTTTTTTTTTGAGACAGAGTCTCACTATGTCACCCTTGGTGGAGTGCCATGGTGTCACAGCTCACAGCAACCTCCGACTCTTGGGCTTAAGTGATTCTCTTGCCTCAGTCTCCCAAGTAGCTGAGACTACAGGTGCCCACCACAATGCCCAACTATTTTTGTTGTTGTTGCAGTTTGGCCAGGGCTGGGTTCAAACTTGCCACCCTCGGTATATGGGGTCGGTGCCGTACCCACTGAGCCACAGACGCTGCCCTAAACTGGTACCATTTTTGTTTTTTATTTTTAGAGATAGAGTCTCACTTTATTGCCCTTGGTAGAGTGCTGTGGCAACACAGGTCATAGCAACCTCCAGCTCTTGGGCTTAGGTGATTCTCTTGCCTCAGCCTCTCAAGTAGTTGAGACTACAGACACCTGCCACAATGCCTGGCTATATTTTTTTTGTTGCAGTTTGGCTGGGGCCGGGCTTGAACCCACTACCCTCAGTATATGGGGCTGGCGCTCCACCCACTGAGCCATAGGTGCCCTACCCAACTGGTACCATTTTTATACATGCTTCTATCTTCTTGGTAAGTTG